CAACTTAGGAGAGATTCTGAAGTCCACCAACCTCTCCTGCCAGTGTTGAAGCAGTGATAAATCAACAGCATTTCTCCCTTCTCAATGCAAATGTTAGTATGTGCAACTCATCCTTTGCCTTCTTTAGAAGAGTCATTATTGGATTTAAGCAAAGGAGACATTTTGAACCACACTTTTTTCAAGTTGCTTTGGGGAGGGTGTCAGAAAAATGCAGTGCAATAGTTCATCTTATTTTCTTGTCTTCAGCATCAGTAATTGCTGTTATCTACTTTACGACAAATTTTACCAAATAATTATCTTTCTTTAAGCCGTTCATGTAATTTCAAGTAGAACTGACTTTTTTTGGAGGAGAAGGATGAATTAAATATCCGACTCTCACTGAAAAGCTAGAAAATCTTCAATTAAAGATTAGCAGTGGCAGTAGCTATAGTCCATTGTACATAATTCCCAGCTCCTATTAATGATGGATATCCTCTTTATTTCATATTTTGAGTTTTATCCAGATCTGAGGATCCATGCTTGGTAGAGATGTCTGTTGCAGAAATGTTATGTACAATTTTTTTTTTTTTTAATTACAGTTCTCAGAGAGTGCTCTGAGTATCTTTACAGCATTCTGGTTTTCTCTATAAGCACTTAAAAAGCATGTGGTAAAATTATCTTAATTTTTTGGTGCAGCGCCTGAGCTAAGATTGTCCCTTCTGTACCTCACTGCTCACTAAAGCCTCTGGTTAAATGCTGGCTCTGAGCAGAAGAGAACCAGCCAGTACAGAAACACTAACTCCGTAACTGCAATCTGTCTCTTTTTTTTTTTTTTTTGTCTTTTTTTTAAACTTTTTCTCTATCCAAAGGCTGCTTCTGCTCCACTCTCCTCAAGAGATGTGACAAGATTCCAGCTGGAAGCTGTGAGGCAAAAACTGTGACAGTTGTGCTCTGTGTATTGGCATATAGTACAAGGTAGAAATGAATGCAGAACACCTCCAGTATATACTGTCTACAGGCCAAAGCACATGTACACTGTCATTTAGATGTGATATTTTGCTTCCTAAAACTGTGAAGAACCTTAATGGATTACAGTACTCTGCAAAACCTCTTTTTTAATTATGCTTGTTTACTGCTTGGAAGCCTGTTGGTTAAACACTTTTTCTTGACAAGCATTTCCAAGATTTCTACTGGGATCACTTCATATTTGAAGTAGGTTTTGCACCTTAGAGTACGACATTTATTAATTTCTTTGGCACTAAGGAAAGCAAGCGAATATTTGTTTCTCTTGTTTTGCATTAATAAACTTACAATAGGACAGGGAGCAAAATCAGAGAATGCAAACAAATTGCTCAAGTCAAATAAAAAAAAACTTCAGTGATCATTTAATTACTACTCACATATTTGCTGTTGAAATGCTCTGGAGGCAGTGAAATGCTGTAGTGATGGGACTACCTAGGTACCCTGACAGATTTATGAACGGAGAGGTGAAGTTAAGTGTCCTGGGCACTTTACTTCCCCATCCTCATCTCTCCAGGTGCTATGTAAGATAATTTGTAGTGCTGCTTTTTATTAGATTCTTCAAACCAGCACCAAACCATGCAGCAGGGACTCCAAAGAGCACCAGCGTGCTGGCTCTTGCCTAGGTACAGAGGGATTGTAAGCAGCTTTTCTCTTCTGTTGCCTGTTTGTGCCAGGGCAAGTCCCTGAGTGGCTGGAAGCTGCAGACTTTGCTTTATCCTGGCATGCCCTGCGGATTTTAGCTGTCAGAGAGGATAACGGAAGGGTGAGAGGAATTGGGACATTATCTGCCTGCCCGTGGCCAGCAGCAGAGCCAGCTGCACACAGAGAGGGACGTCTCTGCTGGAGGCATGTGTGACCCAGAAGGAACTGTCCCATTTGAGCTGGTCTGAAAATGGTCGTTAGGTCTGTAAATGAAGAAAAAGACATTTTTATTTCTTGAGTTCACCAGAAGGTGCCTAGGACAGTCTTCTGTGGCAAGGAACCACGTGTCCCTATTTGGCACTGCTGCTGGCTGCTAGGGCACGCACTGCTCTGGCCCCTGGGACAGGTCTGGTGGCTGGCCAGTGGCCTCCTTGTCATGGCACAGTGGTAGCAGCCCATCGGTCTTACTCATTTTCCCAGCAACGTATGGCTGCTGCAAGTGCAGGCGGGAAGACCTGAGCACAAAGAGCTGCTCTTCTGCCTCCTCGGCCTTGTCCTGGTGCAGGTGATGCCCTGTCAGTGCTGGTGCTGCTGCCCTGGGCTTTAGCTGCACAAGTGAGTTGCGGAGGTTGATCCCCACCTAAGGACTCAGTGGTGGGAAAGGGGAGCTAGTAACTGCCGGGCTGCTGGGCTTGCTCAGTGGAGGGAGAACTTGTAGTCTCTAGTGCTGTCATCACACTAAATTTAATTTTTAAAAAGAAATAAAATAATAATGACCACGCAATTTTTTGCTAGTAATTCAAAAGCTTCACTGAGAAAGTCCTCATGAGAGGTTACAAAAGCTGAACTGCTTCTATTTTCTGGCTGTGATTATCAGTAATTTTATATCTGTCCTGGGATTTGTAGGTGCAGAGGAGAAGCTTTTGTGCAAGCTTCCATTGTCTGTATCCCACACATATGTTTATCAGTCACTAATTTGTCAATGCAGCAGATTTCTGAAGGGAAATGCGTACAGACAGAAGGAGGGGTGGAGGTGGGACCAGGAAAACAATGAGGGGAAAAAAGATGGGCTCGTTACAGTTGGGGGAAAGGAAATTAATGCACATTTGGAGTGTGCAAATCATTACAACCTTGCCCAATAACTAGGGATCAAAGGACTATGCAAAATTTTGCTCACTGATCTGTTTCTGAGAGTCATCAAAATAATGCCAGAAAAGCAATTTCTTCTTCTCAGCCTTGATCTGTTATAGCAACAGTACACAGCCCTAGAAATAGTCCTGTTTCTCACTTCCTTTTTCAAGTAGATTTAATAGATCATAACTGTTACCTTATTTTCCATTTGGAAGTTCCATATTATGCATCATCCGAAGACTGTTAGGTTATGCAGCTGTGTACTCATCAGTAGGGTTAATAGATTATTTCTAGTTATGGAATAAGGATAGAGAAGTATGTTCAATGAAGAAAAAGAGCAGAATTTGGGGAAAACTGGACCATTTTAACAGTCTCAATTCTGCCATGCAAAAATAAGGTTTTTTTAGATGCTTCTCCACCAGACTGTGCTTGTATTTCAGGTCCTTATGAGAGGGATTTGTCTCCTAATACTAGTTGCCTGATGTCAGTTCCCTCTGTTTGGAGAGGAGAACTATTAGCCCCTCCAAGGGACCATTCTTATCCCATGGTAGGTGGCAGGAGTTGCCTGTTGAGGGCATCTCTCTATATCCAAAATACTCTACCAAGTACAGAAGGAGCCTGAGCAACCCACTTGGACCAGGTGACACTTTGGTGTCTAGCACTGCATGCTCCTTTGGTGACCACACTCTGTTGCATTTAATTATTGATGTCAAGCTGAGATTCTCTTTAACATTTATCCCAGTTGGAGAAAGCTTGGGTTGTAGCTAGTGCATGGTAGCATTGCACCAAGGAAGGCAAACCTCTTTTTTCCTCTAATTAGGCAGATTGCTACTCTGATAGACACAGCAACATCAGGAAAACCTGGGACTAAATGGGACAGAGCGCAGGGCAGGAAGGGAGAAGTATATATATTGTCACTCTCTGATGTAGAACTATAGGCTAGGTTAACAGACAGATCCCAGCGAGTTTGCAAGCTAGAATGTAAGTATCTGTGTACAAGTAGACATGTTCTTCATTGCTAGATAAATAAAGTTTTATTCCCAGATATGAAACAGACATATTTCAGTAGAATATCACTGGGTTCCTGTCGTTGGCTGAAAGCTGGGATATGTCAACTCCTTTGCAGAGATTCTACTGCTTTGCAGATGCACTGGCCATTGCATTAATTGGTATGATCTGAACTGTGTGGTTTATCACAGGGGCTCTGCAGATACGACAGTTAATAGTTCTGCTTCTGAAGACAAAAAGACTCCCAAGTGTAAAAAAAAAAAAAAAAAAAAAGTTTATTTTGATTTGTTTGTATATATTTAGTGTACTTGTAATTTATCAAAGCCATAACTACCCTGCAGATGACTGAAACTGCAGAAGCAGAATTCTTTTTTAAGTAACTACCTTGAAGTACTTATGGAGAATTTCCTTCAGGGTTTTGGTTCCCCCACACCTTGATGAAATAAAGTGACTGTGAACTGCACACTGTTGGAGTACCTGAAAGTTTAATTTGAGCAGGCTTCTCTGTCCATTAGGCTTGCAGAGGAGAGTACTCCACTGGGCTTCCTGTCTGACAAATGCCTCATTTGTATGTTAATGCGGAGTTGTGATTTCCAGGGAAGCCATTCAGTGTGTTGTAAAGGGCTTTACTGGCAGATTGCAGTGAAATTGATGCTCAAATCACTAAATATTTACCCTACACATCCCACTTAATATGTCCAAAACTAGGCACACTGTGAAATCCTGAAACCTGATTCTGTGCTTGTGAAAGTCAGGAAGCTGGTAATGTCAGCACGGAGCAAAGCGAAGCGCTGAACAAGTCCACCAGCGTGTGCCAGCAGACCTCCAGCCCAGCCTGCGATCTCCCCGCTCTTTCTGTGCTGTCACCCCATACGCTGGGGCTGCCCTGGCCGCTCCTGCCTCAACACTGGCGCAGCGCTGCAGGTGGCCACCAGCTTTTCCCACCTGCAGCTCTCGCAGCCCTGCGGCCCCTTCTTCAGGGCTGCCCATGGCCCATAGACGATGTGTCCTATGGCACAGCTGGAGGGATGACCACTGCGTCTTCACCTGCTCCTTGCCATGTAGTTTACCATGGACAAATGTTTTGGGTTAGGACAGACAGCTTTAGCACATCAGCAATGTCTGAGACAGGAGGAGGGTGAGGGCACAAAAGCTGGCACAGGGGTGAGGGGTAGGTTGGAGACCTCACAACTCACCTGTTTGTTTTTATTCCCAAGCCTGTTCTCCCAATGAATTCCAGTGCAGTAACAAGTCGTGCATCTCCATCATCTTTGTGTGTGACGGTGACAATGACTGCGGGGATGGCAGCGATGAAAGGAAATGCTCCCCTCTGACCTGCAACCCCAATGAGTTCCAGTGCAACAACAGTGTGTGCATCCCGGAGCTGTGGGTCTGCGACAACCAGCCAGACTGTGAGGATCAGTCAGACGAGTCCGTAGAGAAGTGCGGCTACGATGCCAAGGCCCTCAACACCTGCGCAGCTCATGAGTTCCAGTGCGGCAACGGTGAATGCATCCACCTGAACTGGAAGTGCGACGGGGATGAAGACTGCAAGGACAAGTCTGATGAGCAGGATTGCCGTGAGTATCTGCAGGGGTAGGGCAGGGCTGAGGGCTCTCTGTTGTGGGGGAGAGCAGCCAGAAGGCTGCTGTGGGCTGTGTTTTAAGGCAAGTCTTTGATGTCTATGCAGCAATTGTGTGCCTGACAAGGAGTGTTTGTGTCCCAAGTGGCATGGCTGGGTGCCCAACCCAGCAGGGTCAGGTATATTCCAGGCTCCTTTTATGCTTTTTCCTTGAGGATTCAGAGAGGAGCTGCAAGAGCTGTTGGATGGTACCATGCCTCAGAAGAGATCTGTTTCACTAGAAAGAGAAAGAATGGAAAATGGGAAAAATGTTCAAAGCCCTCAGGCTGCATGGTGGGGTCACAGCCTGGAGGTTAGAAGCCACAATGCTAAAGGGAATATATGATCAGCAGAAAAAAAAAATTAATTTTCTGCCTCTGAAGTTAGAGTATACTGAACAAGGCAGTCAAGAGCAGCACCTCTGAAGAATCCAGTTTGAAATGCACTTTGAGCTTTGCTTGATAAAGGCACAGAGCTAATAAATAATGGATTTCTTTTCAGCTGGCTTTATGCATTTAACATGGTGTTGTTGGTTTGTGTGGTATTTTGAATGTTTCATCGATTTTTAGCCACTAAACTGTTCAAGCTGGTCACTTACCTGAGGAGGGAGAGAGAGACAAGAAAATCAGAGCAAAATGTTTTGCTAAAATATTCATAGTCACAAGATTGAAATAAAATATTTACATAGCTGTATATATTTAACAGCTCTGACATTGGACCACCTCTGGGGAGGGAGGCAGCGGCCAGCTGCGGAAACCAGACATTTTTGCAAAGCTACCTAAGAAAATAGACCTCTTTCATGAGCACCATCTTTTTATACCCTTGACAACACTGAGTCCAGGCTGATGAGCTGAGAGCAGCTGTGTGGGCAAGCCCTTCAAGGAGTGGGGGATCAGTTTCTCCCAGGGAGAGAGAGGCAGATGTACATTCCATCGCTTCCTTAGCAAGAGGAGGAGGAGGATGTAGTAAGTCCTCTACACCACTGTTTGCAATGCAGGAGGGCAGAGGGACGCGGCCCAGGTACCCTGGAGGTGCTGTGCCTTTAAGAGAGCCAGGGACTCCTGAAAGAGAGGTGAGAGCAAATAGGAGAAGCCAAATATGTTTTGTTAAGAAGAGATCAGCTTTGACTGCTGGGTACAAGGATATCATCACTGCAACCCCTGTCTGTGTAGGGATGGAATAGGTAGGATGTCTTTTCTTTCATCTCCAAGAAGGTGATACAGGAGCTGACAGAGCTCTCAGGCAGTACTTCCAGGGTCTGAAGTGTCACAGGGACGGTGGTGTCAGGAGACAAAGCTGGTTCCTGGCATCCGTTTTAGTATGAAGTGACTGTAAGAAAGCCAGGCAGGAGCATGTCTGGTGTGCACTTCCAGCTGCCACGGCCTGTGTTATTTGGTGCCTGTTTTCATTCCAAGACCTGCTGCAGACAGTGCTGTACTTGTATCCCCTCCAAATTGGGAGGCAGTGGCTAGGCCCACACTGCAAACCCAGGTGAAGAACTGGTGTCTGATGCAGGGGACTCCCAGCAGATCTCTGTCACACAGGATGCATTCCCTGCAGTGATGGCAACCTGGCAGGATGGCTGAGTTAAGACAATTCAGGAGAGGAAAAGGTGAGCTCCTTTCTTTTTCCAAGTGGTGAAAGAGAGGAGGAGCTTACAGATGGTACTTTCCGATGAAATGTCTCTAAAATTTCAGTCCCTGTTGTTCCACTTGAGAATAATTTTCTTAAGTCTTCCACAGGCCCCATTTACTTAGACACTCTCCTGGGTGAGAGGAGCGGAACTGTGCCCATGTACCTTGCTGAGGCAGAGGGAACACACTGTTCCCCAGCTTCTTTCCTTGATCTGATGGACACCAGCAATATCCAGCTGAGCTCAAATTGCTGACACGTGAGGCCCAAAAGGAGTGCAGCTCTGACAGCATCCCTCAGCTCCAGAGCAGCTTCACCAAGCAGCACCTCCACATAAGCCAAGGGCAGCCTCCCTGGGGCAGAGGACGCAGCTGGACACCGCTGCAGCACGGCACAGTGCTGACAACCAGTGGAAGAAGGAGGAAATGTGGCAGAAGGGACTTGAGACAATTATGTCTCTGACTGGCAGAGATTTAGCACCTAAGGCTTTTTTCCAGTAAGTCTCAGTGCAGCACAGTGTGCAGCTTATGTACCCAGGAGAAATGAGCGTGTGAGCTGCTTCTGCTGCTTTCAGTTCTGGGGGCCAGGAAGCAGTGGAATTCAAAGCCCCATGTTTTAGCTGCTGCAGTGCTCCTCTGTACGGAGTGCCTGGTCCTGCCCTTTACACCTGGGCAAACCAGGAGTCACCCCACTGCCACAGAGGTGCATAAACCAGCTGCTGTTTACACCACAGGGAGGGGAAGCTCTAAGATACTAGCCAGGAGAGAACTTGCAGCACTGAGTGCTCATGTAGCTGATGGGTCGACTGGGTCGGAGTCAAAACTAACATTGCTTCCCCATCCTGAATGCAGCTGCTGCTTGAGTACACATCCCTGCAGTAAGGACGTGACATTTGAGAGCTCTGGGAACTCAGGATCACTGTTATCTGTTGGACTGAAGAGATTAGGGATTGACCTTTTTTATTTTTTCTTCCTCACCAGTAATTCTCTACTCCCTGTGGTACGCAGGGAGTTACAGGTGTGTGACACTGCTGCATCGCCTTAGCAACAGGGACAGCACAAGTACCACTGGGTTTGACTTGATTAAAACTGCAGATACCAGCACTATGTCTTCCCTTGCAAATGCGAATCGTGGGGTTTGCATTGTATAAAATAGAGGGATGGGAGGTAATACTTTTAAAAAAATTTGCCAATCTTTTGTTATAATAATTTTGGGGTGATAAACAAGTAGAGCAGAAATTAAGGGTGATAATCAGTGAACGGGTTTTGGCAGCGAGACACCAAGTAAATAGGAGGGAATGAGTCACTTCAGGAAAGCTGTGTGAGAACATTGAGTGGTTGGGGGTTTTTTTTTTCCCCTAACATATATATTCAAATATGTATATATATTTATAAAATTAACATTAGGTTAGATTTGTTAGTTTCCAAATCTGGAATGGTTATATTTTACAGTGCCCTTTGCAATTTACATCAGGGCATCCAGGAGGGAGAATAAATAATACTTACAACGGACAGCTAGAAAACAGATCCCATGAGACCTGACCTCACACTTCTGTGCCTCTGACTCTCCATCTATAAAATGGGATTGAAGCATTTTGCAAATGCTGGGGGTTTCTTGAGATTAAGTTATTTTTTTAGGGGGAAAAAAAAAAACCAAAACAGAAGATAGAAGAAACACAAGCTTAGACCTGGAATCTGGAATATATCAGCCGAAGTTGAGCCATACAGTTTTGTGCCTGGTATTTGCAAATGGAGAGTGTGTTTGAGTGTGCCTGTTAATTTTGTAGGGCTTTGGTAAATTGTTTTGTATTTGATTTGCGGAGCAGAGGAGATGGCTATAAAACTGCTGAGATTTTACTGATTTAAACCCTCCAAAACAGCACAGCAATTTTCTGAACATCTTGTGCAAATAAACAGCACAGCTCTTCCCTCTTCCTGGGATATTGCTGTGCTTTGGGAATGGCCCTGATGGCAACCTGCTGTCAACTCTGCCAGTGGTGCTGAGATGGGTTCGTGTCCCAGCTTCAGGATAACAGAGTTCCTGGCCCTCTCCCCTCCAATGCTCTCCAGGGCAGGTATAAACATAGCTTTCTCTCCTCCTACTGAAAAATGCACCAAAAAATATAAATGCTGTATATGCGTTTTCATATCTTTGTGATCAGTGAGAGTTGTTACTGTGTCTGTTCTTTTTAGATGTCTGTTAAGAGGCTCAGGGGCCATTCCTCAAAGGTCTGAACTTCCACAGCTCTGCTGGAGTGAGAAGTGAGCCAGGAAGCCAAGCCTGGTCTCTAGCCTTCTGTCTCTTCTTCTGAAAGCAAAAGCTTTGTGCAATGATGTTGTACAGTTCCACATCTGTGTTTTGCAGTCCCTGTAGAACCGAGCTAAGAGCTGGGCTGTCATTTTTCTCTGTCTTGTGGTGCTTGTGCAACATTGTCTTTGCCGTTCCTGTAAAATTCTTCTTCATTTTAATTTGTTTTAGGATTAGAAACCTTTCTATTCTTGGCATATAGCTATAACTGCTTTCTAGAAGAGCTTTGAAGATTACAATTAAGGACATTTAGTAGGTTTTATAACGGCTGCCTTCCAAATCTGTAGCTGTTGTCATGCAGATTTATTTGGTAAACTGGAGACCTGCTCCTGCTCCAGGAAAGACAAGGCAGCCATTGGCTTTAATTACACATCACACTTCTGTGAGGGGTTAATACTTAGTCAGAAATGGCGACCACCCTTTCCTGTCTCCACACATAGAAGTTGCTACAGAAAATGTGAATAAATTGTTTTTCGTCTTGGGGGTGAAGACTAGAAATAAATGTGGCAAGAGAATTTTCAGCTAGATAGTAGGAAACACTTTGCAATGGGCAACATTTAGCTTGGAAGAGGTCAGGATTGCCATGGGGGAGGGTGGTCTCTGCATCATTAGGGCTTCTCCAGGTAGGTGGGTGTACATGGCAGGAATGGTTCAAGCAGAAGTGCCTCTGCCTCCCTGCAGGAGCTCCCCGTGCCACTTCCAGTTCTGTGGTCTGTGACTGTCCCAGACCACAGCTTCGTTTCCTCCTCTCCTTCATTTTTCTCCATTCAGAACAGCAGTTGCCATGTACTTCGTTTGGAGCTGCTGTCCCACACGTCCAGTGGAGGTTTCCCATTTCTGAGCCTGGGTTTATTAGCTGAAATGTGGTGATACAGCTGGTCCCATAACTATGCTTATTGCTTGTGATTTTTTTCTGGCTTTGCAGTGTTTTATGAATATAGTGCATATGGCTTTCCTCTCCAAGGAGCAGTGCTATTTCCAAACTTTTCTCATGTGAATACTGTGTATTTCGAAAGGCAGGATTTCTCCCTTCCCCCACTAGCCCTGCAGTTGTGGCTTTTCCTGTCTCTTGTGTCCTTCACTGGCTGAAGATGCACCAGAGCTAATTCCAGTGAAGCAGTTGTGAATCTGGATCCTGCATCCTCTGGGATGCAGTCACCAATAGTGCTGAGCCTTTGTGCAACTAATACTTTATGGTATCGATGCTAGCTCACTTCATGTCTATGGCTCTTCCTGGGTTAGCTGAAAGTAGTAATTTTTGTATTAAAACCAGTTTGTCAAATTGTCAAGGAAGGCCTGCCACATAGCTCTTGCCTCCCGTGTAGTAACATCAGTGCTGACCTCCTCCAGCTATTCAGAGGCAGTGATTTTCTGTCATATGATAGTAGGATGCAATCAGCAAGATGAAAAGGCTAGAATCAAGAGCTCTCCAGGGTGCGCTGCCTTAATAGGATTTTAAGAAAACATCTGTAAGATGGGCCTCTCAGAAATAAGCTGCATAACGTGTCCCAGGAATGAGGAGCCTGTTTTGCCAGTGAACTACAGGCTGCAGCCCTTTGCTGGCTGGCGAGTGCCTGTGCTGTTTGTCAGTGCATGTCTGGTCCCAGTTAGGGATGTCTCTCATGTAGCGTGACCTGGGGAAGGGAAACATGGCTGCTTTTAGTATGGTCAGTGCAGCTGTCTGTTTTATTTTTTCCCCAACTTTGCTGCCCATCAGATCTGTTTTGAGTCTGTAATAATCTGACCTGGGCAAATGAGCTCCAGGTTTTAAACCTGGCCTGACACGGTGGAGATGTTTTTTGCCTGTAACCCCAAGAAGCACTAAGCCACAGTGGAGCTCTTCTGCCTTCCAGTGGTCTGATTGTTCATGGGCATTTAGTAACCCAAATGATCACGGCTGTGTTGTTAGCCTCATCCCTACTGTGACCACATTGGCTTTGGCAGAGAGTCAATACATGTCTCTTGCCCAAGCCCCTTAGCCTGAACGTGTTTTGAAGTATATCTGAAATATATTTTTTTTTCTGAAGGAAGGTTAGCTGAGGAGCAGTTGCCTTTGCCTACCCAGTGCCACTCTGCACCCCTAGCTGGAAAGCAGCCTGGCCTCCCACGTGGACTGAAGACCCTGGCGGGGCTCCACTGCTGATAGTTTTGCTGCCCACTTGCTTTCTTGTGTCTCACCTGAGCAGCTTCACTGCCTGCACTGATTCTGTTTTGACTAGATCTGCTCATACAAGCTTTGGGCCTCTTTTCCCGAAGGACACAGAGGGTGATCTGGGATGGCAGAGGAGCACAGGAGGACAGTGGCTAAGGCAGCTGCTGCCTGTGTTGCTTTGGTGGAAGCAGCTGATGCTTTGTGCCACTTGCTGGCAGAGGCTGCAGAACTCCAGCAGTGTCAGAGGTACACGGCTACAAAGTACCCCACAAAACGTTCAAGTCCTGTGTGGCTAATGCTTGAATGTGTTGTCTTAAAGCTCTGGTGACCTGCCAGCCAGATGAATTCCAGTGTGGTGATGGGACCTGTATCCACGGAGCAAAGCAGTGTGACAAGGTGCACGACTGTCCTGACAACAGCGACGAGGCGGGCTGTGTCCAAGGTAGGTACAGCCAGCTCTGCACTCCTTGTGCTCTGTGGTGTAAGCCTGCGAGAGCTGCATGGCCACTGGAAAGGGAAGAGGCCTGTGCTGCTCCTCTGGACTATGGCAGGCTGCTTCCTGGAGAGAGTTTTAAGCCATTCTGACAGTGGGGTTGCTTGGGAGAGATGATTGTGCTGACCAGGCAGTCTGCATGTCTTGAAAAGTTCCTTGCATGATGCTCAGGCTTAATGTTCATTTACGTAATCCCATCCCATTTCTTCTAATGACACCCTCTTGAAGCTTTATGTCAGGCTTTTTGTTGTCATGAGCCTCGTCTAACTTAGTTGCTTTCCTCTCTTGCCCGACATGACAGAGTCAGCATGTGAAAGTCCCAGCAAGTTTCAGTGTAAGAGTGGAGAGTGCATTGACGGAGGCAAAGTGTGCGATTCACATAGAGACTGCAGGGACTGGTCTGACGAGCCTCTGAAAGAATGTGGTACAGTACTTGCCTTCTACGTGTTGCTCCTGTTGTAACTGCTTCCCCTCTCCTCCATATGGTGCTCACAGCTTTGAGTGTAACCACATGTAGCTGCTAATGCTATTTCTCACTCTGCTCCTCTTTCCTTGCCTTTATTCTCTCATCACCCTTCATATGAATATAATTAGTAGCCTACTCTGATCATCTGCAAGTTTGAACTGTGCCCTTCTCAGCTCAGCTTTTATTCTTGGAGGGATGTATGAACTGAGCACGGAACCAGGAACTAGGAATTCCCCCTGTCCCCAGATACTGGTGTCCTCCACAGCACAGACCAGTTTCTTTAGCCTCATTGCCTAAATTATCTTGGAATTGTAAGATGATAATAACATCATAAAAATTTAACATTGGGAACATGCTTTGCAGGTGAAAGCACATAGAGTGGCAGCAGTCACTGGGAGATTACTTCAGCCATTTCTGGGTTTTACATGTTGCTGCTGCTTCCCTTCAAAATGACAGCTGGCAGCATCCGGCCAGCTCTGGTCTAGTGAGAATGAGCAAGCTATGAGAGCTCAGTCTGCATCGGGGCCGTCGCAGTCAGCAGAATGGAGAGCCCAGGCCAGAGGGCTGTGCCGCTTTCCCTAGGGCAGCCCCTCTCTCATGCTTCCCACCAGACATTGTCGGCACCAGCCCCAGTCTGGAGTGTTCCCCAGTGGAGAAATGTCTCAGACTGGCATCCCTTTCTGTGACATCATGGAGCACCAGTAGCCTGGAGCTCAGTGCCTGCCTCTTAAATAACTCACGTTCAGGAAGAACTGTCAGTCTCTCCTCTGTATCAGACAAGTGCGTGTGTGTGCCTAGGGAGGATGCTCTTGCCTTGTGCTTTCAGTATGCCCTTGCTTTCTTCCACACTAATCCACGTGTTCTTGTCTTTCTGAGTGGGTGTTGCAACTTGTCTGTCTGTGGAGGTCTCCCAATAAAACTGGCAGCCCAGTTTGTCTCAGGAGAGTGGGCGGTGGCACAGCACAGCTGGGCTTGGTGCTCAGCCGTACTGTGGTGCCATGACTGACTTGGTGCAGTCCCAGGCTGGCAGTGAAGTGTCCTTTAACTTAGGAGGCTGAGCAGAGAATAGCCTCCAAAAGAAACACGTTTCTTTAAGAGTGCAGAGTGATGTGGGTTGCTGTGAATGTAACACCTACCCACAACTAATGCACACAGAGGGCAGGAGATGCAGGACATGCTCCTTATCTAGGTGTGTCTGTCTAGGTGTATGCTAGACACTGCAGTGCCCTCCGAGATTCCCCAGAAAAGCATGGCAGAAGGCAGAACATCACTTGTCTTACTTTAAGCAGGCAGAGAATATACTGCTGAAGTTGGGTAATGGGCAGCAGCTGCCCAGCAGAAAGAGAACAAGCTCATGTCTCTGCCTGGCTTCTGCTCAGCTCCTAGTGAGGAGTGCAGCAGGTGAACCAGCACTTGATTTACAATCTCTAAATCCATTCCACAAAGCACCTCTGAAACCAGGGGAACCATCTGAGTGAGGGTTTGCTTTTAGTCAAACAGCCTTTGCAGTATTTTGCAGAGAGCAGTTGTGCATGTTTATGACCTGATTTGCTAGAGGCCTATGCAAGCGTAGGAATAGGTGATATCCATTAATAAACATCACTGAACAGTGACAACACACAACGTGGCTCTGTGGACACAGCTTCTTGGAGCCCAGTGAACTTGCTCTATTAACAATGTATTGCTATCTATACATGTGTGTCTTTGATAGGAAGGTGGAAGCGTCCCAGAGCTGAGATGAAGTTCCTTCTGGCGTATTTTCCTAGTCCTACTGGCTTACTTGGCTTGTGGTTGTTTCCATTTTGTTCCAGGAGCACTGGTTGAATGGCTCTGCTGTACTGCTCACCTGCAGTGTGCAAGGAAGCAAGAAGGAAAAGATAAATGAAAAATTTGCCTTTAAATTGCATTACAGATTGAAGAAAATAAGTTTTGCTTGTTCTAGTGAGCCCACTATCCCTGAAATCCTACAGTTTCTGTTCAGCAGTCTTACTTAGGGAGAGGACTTTCTCTTCACCTTGTGTAGGTTAATTACAACAAGAAGAAATGCTATTTCTGAGAGGAAACAAGCTTCCCTCAACCTCTCATTTGGTTCTAGTTACAAGGATCCATTTAGTCTTTTTTTTTTCAGCACTTGAAAGCAAGATCTGAGAAAGGTGGCCATCCCCAGGAGAGGATGGGGGCTGTTGCTTTTTAAATGGCACACTTGGGCTGGTGCAGGCTACCGGCAGAGACGGCGGTGTGGGAGGTGTTTGTGGGAGGACTGTATCTCAGAGTTAATGGAGGATCTCTGGCAGACTGTACTTTGGTGTTTTCTGGAATTTTCACAAAGATAATTCCTTGGAGCTAGCTGGGAAAACAGTACAGTATTTCAAAATAGCTGGCCCCTGGGAGATGGGACTCCCCCAGCATGAATTATTTAAAGCTCCAAGAGGCTGTTCAGAAAAGTCAACAAGAACCAGCACATGGGGAAGAAGGAGTCTCCTTGAGAGAGCCCTTAGGTCCCTTGGAAGTTCCTCACATGTGGCAGAACATGCTCAAAGCAGCAGCTCTCTGATGGGATGACATGAAGAGATTCACATACACGGTATCCCCAGGGCTCTCTGTTCATTTAGCCACTAGCTTTCAATCCAAATTATCCTACAGTGTTGGTTTGGAATAATAAAGAGCAAGAAAGTGATATGGGGTGGCCTCCTATCTGAGAAGTCACTCATGCTCTATGGGGCCAGCTCCTGGCTACCAAAAGCTGATAGATATGGGAAAATTTCTGAGGACCTTGACCTCTCTTAATTTTATTCAATCTTCCAACTAAAAGCCCTCCTTTTTCACAGATAATCTGTATATCCCTTCCAGGTATTAATGAATGCTCTATGAACAACGGTGGTTGCTCACACATATGCAAAGACTTGAAGATTGGTTATGAATGTGAATGCCCGCCCGGCTACAAGCTTCTGGATAAAAAAACGTGTGGAGGTAATTTACATGCAAACAGCAGTCCCTTGTGTTTCACCATAGAGAGATGTGATTATATTCACTTCAGCATTGCTCTATCACAGATGGTTTGATTTCAAGTTATTGATGGGTTTCAAACACTCCTTTCAGACATAGATGAATGTGAGAATCCAGACGCTTGTAGCCAGATCTGCATTAATTACAAGGGGGACTACAAATGCGAGTGCTACGAGGGATATGAGATGGACACCCTGTCCAAGAACTGCAAAGCTGTAGGTAAGACAACCCCACGGGCACTTAAACTCTGCTTGCTCAACATCACAGCTCTGATAAGAAAACATGCTTGCAGGGCTGAGGCTAGGGGAACAGAGACAAAAGGAAACTAGCAAGCAAAGACATCTCATTTTGAGCAGCACAGAGCTGCTGCAGTGATAGCAGATGCGTCTCTAGGCAAGAACTACTGATCATGCAGATCAGAATATTTTAACAGTGTACAGAGCAAGATTACAGTCACTAGTTGGCTGTTTGAAGCTGAAACTAGAAAAGAAAGTCTCTTGACAGGTGTCATTAAAAACAGTGCAGCAAAACCGTGTAGTAGTAGTAGTATTAAAAGGAAGAAAGCATTCCAATTAAAGCGTGGTAGGTTAGCCACCTCTCCACCCTCCTGGCCTCTTAACGCAAATACCAACATGAACACCAGCAGTTTGTTCAACCTTATTGCAAAAATTAATGTCAGAGAGATAGAAAGTTGAATTGTGCAAGACTGAGCATTAGCCATGCTGGGGGTTTCTTTAATGGGAATAGTGAGTCTCTTGGGGAAGGGTGAGTTACTGCAATACAAAATTGCTTCTCTAGTGTTATCCTGCACATCTATGTGGCCGCTTTTTTCCCAGGTTCTATATGGTATGCACAGTGTCCTGCTGCCCTCATAAAGTCTGTTAGTGTCACACCTGCAGTGAGTTAGGACTGACCCAAATCCTGGGACAGTCTGCTTGCTGGTTAGAAAATTCTGTTGTGCCCGAGAGCCCTGGGAGCCCTGCAGCATCACATGTTCCAGAGCTGGAGCCTTGTCCCAGCTCTTCGCTTTCAGTATCATGTTCCTCAATCTGCTTTGGTCCTTCCCAGTGGACAGACACTCCTTGCTGGGATCTTCTACTGGCCCTGTTGGAGACAAACCAGTCTAACCCACTAAAGCTTGTTCTGAGCCTCCCACCCTGTCCCTGCCTCAAACAGGCAGGTGCACAAAGAGCAAACTAAAGCTGCAGCTGTTTGACTTGCAGCTTATTTTAGTGGAAGTTAAGAACACAGAGAATCACGTGCTCTGCTGCTTGCAGGGGACAAGGATGTGCACGTCTTGGTCTGAGCCTAGAGACATGGGTGTCTGCCTCCTGCAGTAGGAAACTGGCCTCCATGGGGTCCACTGTGAAAAACTGTGGAGGCTGAGATGCTGGCTGTGGTCTTCTAAGCAAAATAACTGTTGGGTTTCTGTGTGCTGCTCTCCTGTCCTTTGGAAAATTCAACTTTATGCTCCTTGAGAGGCTCTGGCCTGAGATCACAACTGCAGTAGCAGGATCACCAGCACCCAGGATGCAGGCTCTGCCCCCCAAAAGAGATGTGAACTGCCTGAGCCCACATGCTCAGGTGTGAGTTCTGCATGTACGTGACAGTCTAAAAATGCCACCCTGGCAACCAGCCCTGGCTTTGCTGGATTCATTGTGGCTCTGTCATGCCTCAGGTCTGGCTGCCTCCCTTCCCTGCAGCGAGCCCAGAGAGCTCTCTCTTCCTTGTCCTGGCCATGAGTCACCAAAATGTGGCCCATGTATTTTGTATCTAAAATATGTAATTGACATTGAGGACATTCCCCAGAGTTTTGTTTGTGGCTTAGCAAAATGTGCAGACCAAGAGCCAGTGTGCATCTAGTGAGCACAGAGGTGCTGCAGTCCTCCATGTCCATGTGTGATGGCTCTGCCTCTGGAAGCCTTTTGCACTTGCTTCTGGTGTGGTGTAAAGCTTCCTTACAAAGCAGAACTATCAGGGACTCATAGTTCATATCAGTGACACATAGTTTGAGAAATGAAAGCTGAATCTAACCCTTGGGTCAGTCACTAAAATGACAAATGCAATTCTTTTCTGTGGTAGGCAAGAGTCCTTACCTGATCTTCAGCAATCGCCATGAGGTCCGTAAGATAGACCTGGTGAAAAGGGACTACTCCCGCATCATTCCCATGCTGAAGAATGTGGTGGCACTGGACGTGGAGGTGGCAACAAACAGAATATATTGGTGTGATTTGTTCTATCGAAAAATCTACAGGTAAGGGACAAGAGAGGATGTGTGTTTTGGTACCTTTCCAAAGCTGTGGTTCGATCTGTACCTGTTAAGGACAATCTGCAGAGAACAATGCCGACTACAGTGAACCTCGGGGCTTTTCTTCCTTTAGTGGATTACCTGTTGTGGCCCAGACTTTATCAATTTCTGAAAAAGCTTACAAAGAAATCAGGGGCTTGTGCAGTTATCTGGTTTGATAATACAGGAAGGCTGTTAGTCAATAATAGATCCTGCTGCTTTTCTGCAATTACACGTAGATTCTTGTTTACTGAGTCATAATATTGCTAAACAAGGCTGTGTCATACCGCTGCAGTGCTGTGTGCTTGCTATATGTGAAACCACAAAGGATTTAGCATCTGAAAGCACACAGAAGGGAAAATGGTGGGAGCAAGGAGGTAGCAACACTACTAGCTGCCCAGTGTAGTCTCTGGTAGACTGGATTTTAAATTCACACCACTTGACCACAATACACATTCTGTAATTTTCATTCTCCCTCCTCCTTCAGCTGTTTTTATGGCATCCATCACAGTATTATGTACCAGGGCTTGTGAGTGTGTCTAGTCAAAAATTCATTTAATTTATGCGCTGAAAATCCCCCTTGTATATTCTGGTTTGCATAGCTATTGCAACCTACTGCAGCTTCTACAGTGATCTGTTCTGGATTTTAGCTAATGATCAGGCAAAGGTTGATTGGTTTCAGTGTGTGGGGCCGAGCCAGAGTTTCTGTGGGCTGTGGTAGCTCCCGTGCCATTGGCAGGGAAACTTGCCCAAGCTGGGCTGGGTATTAAGCACCCTCCTAGCTGGGCAGGTACCCTGAGTGGCCCTGTGGGGCTCTGAAAATGGGGAGATGGTTCAGAAGAAAACTGACTGCTTTCACTGTGATTGTGTAGGCACAGGCAGGGGTAGGTAAGGGCTTCGTATTCATACACAGAGAATTATTCAAGACACGCTGCTGCTTCTGCAGCTTGCAGTGAATGCCCTGGGGCGCTGGGAGCCCCTGAACAGTGTTCATACCCTCCCTGAACATGGCTGTACCAAGCCCTTTCCTTTTTCCAAACAGCAAAATTGTTCTCTTTCTTAATTAGCTTTGTTGTAAGTTCCACCTTTTTTGCAGAGCAAGCTACGCAACTATAACTTCTTAACAATTAACGTTCCTGTTCAAGATACTGCTACTGTCACTAATATCAAACATTTGTAAACAAAAGGCCACCATGTCCCTCCAGCAGAGAACAGGGCTCCACTTGCAGGAGTCCTCTGGGGAAAAGCAGACCCTATCGTACGGTGAAAAGTGTGGTACAAGGAGGTAACTGCTGGCAAGAGATCCTGTCTTTCTTAATGCTCACCTCACTTGCCTTTCCAGATCCTCTCCTATTGAGGTGATGTCCCCACTGGGGTGTCAGAAGATATTTTACAGTATTTAGTTACTGGGAAAAATTGAAATGTCACCTGTATTTCAGCCCTCCCATTCTGAAGCCGCAGGAGCCTCTCTCAGCTTCCCCACCAGTGCAGCACTGAAGGTACAGCGCAGCAGCTCACCGCAGCGGTGGATGGGGAGTGTTGAACACGGCTGTTTCACTGGGGAGGAATTAACTGACCTGGAGCTGTGTAGTTAGAACATCTGGTGCTCATCAGACTGAAATAACAGATTCCTGGGAACGTTGTCAGATGCCCTGCAGAACCCTGACGATACCATTCATTTGGTGTTGGGTCCCAGAGAAACCAAAACCATTCCTTGGAGTGAAGATACAGGAGCTTGCTGTTAATGCAGGCTGACTCTGCGTAGCCATTCCAGCCTCAGCTGGAGACCATAAAACTGTGTCAAAACTCCTGGTTTTAGACATTTGTTTCCAAGTCTCTGATCTGATACTTGAGAGCTCAGCTCCTGTAGGATTTACTTCTCATCCATGACCAAAAGCAGGATGGCCAGTGACCAGGAGATGTAAACCATCTCACAGTTTCAAATGTTCAGGGAGGAGCGAAAACTTGCTGCTGTTTTGTAACTTTTCAAAGATGTACCAAGTTATTCTAAGAGCCAGACTAAGCTTTTAGAAACACTGATGCAAACTCAGAACAACTCCGTTTCAGTTCACTCAGTGCAATTGCTATCGGTGCAGGTGCAACAGAGCAGAATCAGCCTGGGTGCTTGTGGGAGCAACATTGAGTTACTTATGAAACATCCATGTGGAGTCTGCTGCCTTTCGTTAGTGTTTTGAAAGATTTTGAGGTTGCCACTGATATTTAGTGAACATTTTCTTTGTATCTAATGAGATCACTTGCCAAATGAGTACAGCTCCATTAATTCCTTTGATGACTCATAATTAGTTACACAGGTCCTAATTCCGCAATACATTTAAGCACATTTATTTGCATGCTCAGTTCAACTCTGTTCAGCAGAGCACTGGAGATCATATTTCTAATGTCCATAAATCCCATGACTCAATGCTATTGCAGTTAACGTGCCTGAAGTCAAATGTTTTGCTGAATTGTGCAGTTATAGCAGGAAGCAGGTAGAAAAATAAAATGACAGTTCCCTATTCTGGAAATGCCTGCCAGCCAGATACGGGGAAACAAAAACAACTTCTAGGAGGAAGGCGAAGGATGCAGCATGCAGCTGTAAGGGTTTCTGTGTCAATCATGCTGCTGCACGTGCACTTTCTGAGGGGTTGGAGTGGTGCCACCCAGCATTCAGCTGTCTGAGGTCCAACCCCCTGCACATCTGCATGGTCCTCTCTGTGCTGTGTGTCAGTCCGGTGACAAGTCCTGTCTTTGCAGTGCCTACATAGACAAAGCGAGTGACACAGCGGAGCAGGTGATTTTGATAGACAGCCAGCTGAACTCTCCCGAAGGACTGGCAATAGACTGGGTTCATAAAAACATCTACTGGACAGACTCCGGAAACAAGACCATCTCAGTGGCCACTGCAGATGGAAGCAGGAGGAGGACACTTTTCAACAGCGACCTCAGTGAGCCAAGAGCCATTGCTGTTGATCCCACACGGAGGTAGGTGTAAAGACCACAAACACTGCACCAACAGGGATGTTCTAGTCTTCTTTCTGTCTCTCTTACAAACTTGTGGGTGGTTCTCATCAAGACTTCAGATGGCCTTTAAGATAGATACATCCATTGAACTTAAACGGGACTGCTGAGATGGTTCAACTAACTCTTTGCAAGGCCACTGCTGTTAGAGAAAGTTCTGAAAATAATGGTCAGGTCGTGTTTGATGGGCCTGAGCTGGTCCAGGCACACAGGTTGTGTTGGGAAATGAAGTCTGTCTGACACTTGTATGGGCTGCTTTGATAAGTGAAGTCCGCGTACCTCGCAGCCACACCAGGAGATAGTTTGCATGGAGTTATAAAAGTGTGATTTTTACATTCTGGTGAAAGTTTTGTGGCAGTGTACCCTATGGGACAGGATGTGGCTCCACTAGGCACATATGAGAATTAACTGAAGTGGCCAAGGGGCTTTGCTATAATGCAAAACAGTGCACCTCCTGCTGCAATTAGTAGTGCAGATCCTTACTCTTGGGTCCAATTTACTCTTTTCTTGCATCTGGCTCTTTCAGGTTCATGTACTGGTCTGACTGGGGAGACAAAGCTAAGATCGAGAAAGCTGGCCTGAATGGTGTGGGGCGGCAAGTGCTGGTGACTGACAGCATTGAGTGGCCAAATGGCATCACGCTTGGTAAGTGCTCACGTTAGAGCTACGGCATCCACTGTGGCTGATGTAAATTTATTGTTAAATAGGAAAACAGAATTGTATATGTACAAAGGCACCTGCACTCAAAATTCTGGAAATATTCTGTCACTTACTGCTCGCCAACATGAGCAATTTTATTTCAGTAGCAAGCACAGGCAGTAAGTCTTGCCACAGTCAGAACCTCATACTGCAGGAGCCTGGAGTTGCTTTTAGGTGTGCCTTAAGGCAGAGGGAAATTTTGGGTGAGGATGCAGAGCTGCAACAATCCATTGGTGGTCCAAGAAGCATCAGAGAGCCCTTGGTACTAGTGCCTCTGGACCTGTCTCCAAAGCAGCACCAAGATACTTCATTGCACTGATTAACACATGGTACCTCAAGGAAAAAGACGCAGCCGGCAGAGCCCGCTCCCTGTCCGCGTGCCTGCCCAGCCGCCCTGGTGGGGGCAGCAAGGTGGAACTGGGATGGGCTGGTATCCTGCATCCTGCTGGCACACGGAGGGCTGTGGTCCTTCTCACTGACACACCGAATTGCAGGAGTGGAAAGGTTTCCTGCCCCCACGGGGCAGCAGGGACAGCCTCCTCTGGAGTTACAGCTGTACGTGCTTAATGGCATGCAGATACGAGTTCTCTGCTTGGTTTTGTATTTGAAAATTCTGGCCATGACAGGGCTGTAGGAGAAAATGCTGCTACCATTGCATAGTGTTGAAGTGCTACTGCTGTGAACAAATAATGTTATCCTTTAGTAATTAAGAAATTAATTAATGACTTGCTTAATTACAGAACTTGTTTTGTGTTGGCACTCATCCATTTGCATTCCGTTTGGTGAATCTCATCCAAAATGAGTGCATTTGCTCCAGGAAGAGAAGTTCAGTGCTTAGCATTCGAAATAAATAACACTGGTTCCTTCCCTCCCACTCTTACCTGCACCCTCCCCAAAACCTGGCTGGTTGGGGTAGGAGTGTCCCCACCACCAGCGTTCCCCCAGCCTGAGCACAAGAAGGGTTTCTGGACCCAGGGTTCTTCATCACTGAAAATGTGTAAATCGCACAGGTCCTTCAGGGAGGTGTTTCATTTGAATCACAGCTGCTGTTCTGCAGCAAGAGGCAAAGGACTGAATAGCCCTGAGAGGGATGAAGCTTCTCCCTCAGGCACTGATGGGGTGACTCTGGGAAGCCCCAACTGCTGGTGGCCCTCGCCTCCTGCTAACAAAAGAACCTCATTGTACCAAGCTGTCAGTCAGGCACTCCCCCCACACACACCACAGAATGTTCCTCCTTTTTAATTTTATTTATAGGGTCTTATCCCAGCATATCTGGGCACTGATTCAAAATCAGAACTAGTGTTAAAAAAAAAAAGAAAAAGGCCCAATAATAAAGAGATTAGTCATGCTGCCAGCAGGAAAAACATGCTGGGCAAGAGAAAAAGAGTTGCAGGGGCTGTGTATAATTTTGCTTCATTGTGTTTCACTTCTCAGATTTGCTGAATCAGCGTCTCTATTGGGTGGACTCCAAATTGCATTCACTGTCCTGCATTGATTTCAATGGCAGCAACAGAAAAGTTCTGATCTCTTCTGTTGATGATCTGAGCCATCCTTTCGGCTTAGCAGTGTTTGAGGTAAGAGTCGAAAATGGATGTGGAACAGACTGGAGACTGCAAGAGGTCTCAAAGCTCTTCTTGATTAGAAGCTCTGCCTTCTGCATAGCACAGAAAGCTCAGCGAGGGCCTTCGCTGCTATAGAAACCGATTAACTCGGGGTGGGTTCAGTGGGGAAAATCGTTTTCTAAAGCCCTTAGTCAGGAGCAATGTGTTGTCTCGTGCTTTTGCCTGATCTGGTACCAGTGCATCCATGAGGGGCGGGTGGTGCCCAGCGTGAACACCTCCCACAGAACTGGAACATGGGCAGTGGGCTTTCCTTGCTTTGAATTGAGCCGACTGTCTGTGCAAAGGCCAGCAATATTAGCAAGGGAAGGGAGAAGCCACTTATTGGGATCAGCAGGCGGGACAACCATTCACTGAGTGACACTGCAACATTCATGTCTTTTGAAAGTCAGACTTTGAGGGGAGCTGCGTGGGCTCAGAGCAGCCTCTCAGCCCGCGGTGGAACACTCTGCTGCTCCCAGCAGCTTTGTTTCATGCATCTTTGTGTACCTGTGTCACATTTTCTGGTGCCAACAGAACCCTCAGGGGAGGATGGCCCCCTAAATTTTGCTGCATTGGCTGGTTGTTTCTGTTGTCCATCCCAGCATCTGCAGAAGTATCCTCAGAAACGTTTTCACCTGTCTCAGGAGTCTTAAGGCTTCAGATGGGAGTATCTGTGCCAGCAAGGCACTCGCCAGGCTCCCCCTGCAGTCACTGGGCACCAGTGCACTGCTGAGGCTAGGGACTGGGCACTGAAAAGGTGTTTGTTCACCTTGTTCTGAAAGGGTCAGGTAATTCTCTTTTAGGCTGAAGGCTCGTTATGACACATAAACCCTGCCACACATCAGAGAAACCTCCCTGACAAAAAAAAAAAAATAGCTGTGATCCTACAAAGACATAAGTCTATTTTCACAAAGGCTTCAATTGAAAACCCTAATCTTGTAGATTAGAGTACTCTTGTACCATTCAGTAGCCTTACTAAGAACAGCGCAGTAATTAATTAAATAGTACAGTTCAGATCCTCAGATGTCATCAAGGACAAAGATCCTGTATTTGAAAAGAAGAAAAAAATCAGCAGAGACAACAAAGTTTCTAAGAATGGCCCTTCGGTTCTGCTCACGATCCACCCTATCTTTAAAAAAAAAAGTTCAGAAACAATGGATGCAGCTCTTCTGTACTTAACCAAGGTTCTGCTCCCTCATCTGAGCCTCCCAGCTGCTCAAATTTACAAAGTATTTTATAAACATGTAGGAGTGCTGTGCTTTTGGACATTAGAAATGACAGTGTCCAAAAAAAAAAGAAAAAAGCTGCAGATAGGAATAGCATGAACCAAATGTGTCCCAAGGTAGGAACACAGTGCAGTGACTTTGTGACTAGTGGAGTCTAATCCAACTTGAGCTGGGCTGGGTTAGAAATCCTTTGTATTTCCTGCAGGACAGAGTGTTCTGGACTGACCTGGAGAATGAAGCAATCTTCAGCGCAAACAGGCTGAATGGCTTGGACATCTCCGTTTTGGCAGAAAATCTCAATAATCCTCATGACATCGTGGTGTTTCATGAATTAAAGCAGCCCAAAGGTAAGGCATGTCCTCAGGGTATCGTGACCCTAAATCAGGTTTATTTGAGCTAGTAAATGAAATGCTTCCCGAAGGCTTGATGAGAGAGAAAGCACAGGTAATAATGTGAAATCAATGCCTAGTGTTTGCAGTTCCTGCATAATTAATTCAGCAGCAGCATTTCTTGAAAAGTCTGCAGTTTGTTAATAGCTGTTTAATTAGCATCTTTGATAGCAGTGAGTTACTCTCGTCACAGTGATGCTTGCCAGTCATTATCTATTTGGGCAGTTTTTACAGTAGTGTGTAAGGTTCTGCTCTACTCCAGACTGTTAGGATGCTTAAGCAGCCCAATTAATTGAGGTAGGGAGTGGAAGAAATTCTTTGTAGAGGACCTGATATTTCTTTGCCAAGAACAAGAAATAAATAATTAGAAAAATAACTTGTCTTTTCTTCCATCCTGGAACAGCTCCAGATTCCTGTGAGCTCAGTGCCCAACCCAACGGAGGCTGCGAGTATCTGTGTCTTCCTGCACCTCAGATCTCTCCCCATTCTCCCAAGTACACGTGTGCCTGTCCTGACAACATGTGGCTGGCTCCTGACATGAAAAAATGCTACAAAGGTAAATACGATCACATTGCTGTTTCGCTATTCCAACAAAATCATACTCACAGTGAATATATTTCATGATGGTGGAACACAAACATTAGCTTTTGTATTCTACATACTTGCTGCCTTCTGAACACAGCGTTGTGGTGTCCTTTATTGAAAACCTGCTTATTTCTGAAAGCGTGACCAGAAAAGGATACAGCAGGAAGAGGAAAAAGGAGTAAGGCCCAGCACTAAAAGTGTGAATGGCCAATAAATCATTAAAAATTTGCCATGTTATTGCCCTATAGATACAGGATCTGGAGAGGCCACAGTCATTGCTGATGATACCCTGATGAGACAGGTGATTTCAATGTCGTTTTCCCTAACATGCAAATGGTTCCTGGTACAAATTCTGTATCTTCTGAAGTACTGAAAATAACCGTGATCTTTGAACTTCTTAACTACCTCCCATCCATAGTGCTTTATTTTATTTTATTTTATTTACTATCAATATATATTTTATTTATTTACTATCAATAAATAACGCTTGACTTCAGGAAATCATTTATGTAGCTTTAGGCAGAGAACAATCCATAGTCTGACTACCTGGTAAATAAAAGTGCAATGTGGTTTCTACTTCTAATGAGTAAACAACCCTCCCCAGAATTCTATCACCATTTGTGATTTGCTTTTATGTTCTTGCTTTTACCAGATTTCATGTTTGCTCTTGCTTTTCAGATCTTCCAGCTACTTCAGCTAGCATACTGGTTTCTACAGCCGCAGCATCCCGTACTGCTGATACTGCGACCACTGCAACTGGAATTGGCAGCACCAACACCACCACTGAAGTCGCCCCCAAAGCTGTATCAGAAGCTACGATTACCATCCCAAGTTTTCAGTTACCTTCCACCATATCCATCCTGATAGATTCTGAGATGACCACTGGAAACAGTAATTTATCACAGCACTGTAAGAGAATGAGGTTCCTCTTTTTTTTTTTCTATATATACCGAACCACAAACACTCATGCACTGGCGGGAGACCTGACGTAACATCTGAGTCGTGAAAAGGTCAGATGCAGGCACATCCTGTTGCACAGCAGGAGACATCAGGTGCTCGTTCTGCAGACACCGCCGTTATAATGGCTGATGTGATTCCAGTCTCTTGGGATGTTAACGAACTCAGGTCAGGTTTTCATCCAACAAACGTGCAACTGACTCTAGAGATGAGGCCCAGAGAGTTCATACTCGTCCTCGCCTTGTGCCTAATACTAGTTCATCCCAGCTTCAGCGCTGTTGTAGTGCTGCACACCGTAATATAGATGATTCTACAGGCACTTCCCGATTTTAATTGTTGAATTATTAATGTGATCCAGCATATGCTGTGGGGGAAAAATGCCTCCTGTCCAGCTTTAGCCCTGGACATTTTGAATTCCTACAGCCCAAGACAAGCTGCGTCTGTTTTGTGTGGCTGTGCTTTGCACGTGAATGTGGCCTGGTCCATGACGTGGGTTTGAAGATTTTCATTCCAATATCAGAAAAGTATCCCAGTGGAGAGCACTAGTAGGCTCCATTGAAGTTCACCCTACGTGATGAGTGTGTAATGAAAAGCCAACCTCCCATCCCAGTGCTAACAGGTAATCAGTCCCTCTAGATCGTGCTGCCAAGGCAAAGCAGAAAAGCTGAACGGCTTTTCCAAAAAAAAAAAAAAAAAATTCTAGTCCAGAGAAAAGACTTTACTCCTCAGGACTGTCATTCAAGGACTCAAACAGATCTAGATTGCTTTAAAAAGAGTAACATATTTTTTCTTTATTTCCCTGAGCAGAACAGGCAGTTTCCATTGCATCTGGAAAGCAAAAATAACCCATCCCTGTGTGACCAGGGAGCCTTTAGTGGTAACAGCGACGCAGCGTGCTCTGTACTGCCTGTGGGAAAGCAGAACCCAATTTCTAAAATTCATTCTTGTAAGTTCTTTTTGTGCAAATGTCTTTCAAATGCAATAATTAACTTTTTAATAAGCCATGGAAGCAAGATGCACATTTGAAATAGTCTGACTTATTTAGTAAATAACTATGCAGTAGAACGGCCTGCCACAGGGAAGTATTTAAAAGGATAAATTGCCTTTTAAGTTCCATGAATTAGTGTATCAAAAGACAAACAACTGTTAGCTCCTCCTCTCTCAATTCCAGATAATTTAGCAAAAATAAATTTTCTGTGCTGATCCCCTATTACAAGAGCTCAGAACAAACATTTTTATTGAAAGGTGTATTTTTTTTTTACATTATTTTTCCCTATAATTGTTTTTTTCTATTGTAAGTACAGTATCAAGTTTTGGGGCCATTCTTGCACGCTGAGGCAGGCTGCAGCAATGAGTGACATACGTGTTGACTAACTCCTGAGCTTTAAATAAATAAAAAAATAATTAGAAAAGCTGTGCAGATGACTTTTGAACTACTACTTCTGACAGCTCAATAAATCATTAATTGTGTCAGTACTAGAAAATGTTTTACTGTGGGTTTTGAAGAGCGCTATTCACCCTCCCCAGATCCATGCATTGTCTGTCATGGGTTTTACAACTGATGCCTTTTTTGTGCCTGAAAATCAAAGGCACAAGTACAGTCACTTACGCATTTCTGGTTAGAGCTGCTCTGGCTGGTGGCACTGTACTGAGCCTGTCCCTGAGCTGGCCCCCCTCTCCTGGTGTGAAGTTTGCAATCCGGCGACGGCAGGAGCACTTCATGGCCAGGCTGTTTATTGTTTCTAAAAAGAAACTGCTCAGCTTAGCCTAGAGTTATGTGTACATGTTTTTTATTTTCTCCATAATAATTTTATTACAAAGCTTTTAATTAACTCTTTGATTGCAAAAGCTTTCTCATGGGCAGAACAACAAACATGGTTACTAACATAACACACTCTCTAACTGTGGCTTTGAAACCAGCAACTGAGTTAAATAATCAGAACAACTTCTGTAATTACAGATGCAAATAATGACCAAGGCTTTGATTCAACGGTGACAGCAGCTGTCATTGGAATTGTCATTCCTGTTGGTAAGCTGATTTGATTTAACCTTTGAAGGAGATCATACCAAAATACTCGTGCAAATACACCCCTGACTTTCAGGTTTGGGGTGGGAAAGAAAAAAAAACTGCTGAAATGGGGAAAAGCAGTCTGGCTTCAAGAACGTTGTACAAGGATGGGTACCTACCTGGGAACATCCCAGCAGAGTCATGCCCTCCCCACGAAACTGCCTAAACAGCCCTTTCTTCCCCTTTTGTCAGTGGTCATCGGCTTGCTGTGCATGGGGGGATACCTCATCTGGAGAAACTGGAAACGGAAGAATACGAAAAGCATGAATTTTGACAATCCTGTATATAGGAAGACAACAGAAGAGGAAGACGAAGATGAAATCCACATTGGGCGGACTGCCCAAATCGGACATGTCTACCCAGCAGTAAGTGTCTAGGAAAACTGCTGACAGAGAAGATTAATTTTGTTGGGAGTTTAGATACAGAATCATCTCCAGCCAATTACAGCACTGGTTATTTGCCATATAATGACAAAACCCAGAACTTCTGTAATCATCATTGAATAGGTAGAAGCTGAAACTTCTAGGCAGCTCATGCAGTTGTCTCGGAATATAGCGGTCTATAGAATATGATACTCTGTTCAAACAAAGAATAATTGTTCCAACCCATGTACCTAGTAAGCCAGCAAGTATAAAGCTAGCCAGCTCAGGAGCTCAGTACGTGATGGCTGATTAGTTATCCTCACTGGATAGATCTGTTAGATTGCTACCAAGTGTGTAAACTACCTTAAGGATAACTTGAGTTTCTCTACAAGAGCAGGGAGACTACTTTCTCTATAATATAACAGCACAAAGAAGAGTCAGATTCCTCACAATAAGGAGGGAGTGAGGTTCTGGAAGAAGTTAAGGAAATTTCCCTTGACAAGATGAAGCTTTACAAAAAGCAGACCCTCATTGTGATAGCAAGTCCTGTGGCTGCAGAAGGGAGAGCACCTGTTCTGCACAGCAGTTTGTAAGGAGCCTCCTTCCAAGCAGCCCCAGCAAGATGAAGCACTGGCAGTTATAACTGGGTTGTACTTTTAGGAGAAAGCATAAAAATCCCCAAGTAATGAGTGAAGGCAATATAACCTCTTAGGCAGGCGGGCACCTAGCTCACACCCTGTATTATCTAAAGATCCTGACAAAGATCCCCCTAGAGAAGGTGGTGTCCCTTACAAGGAACTCCATCCAGTACACAAGTGAGGTAAACTTTCCAACACCTCTGCAGTAGCACTTGATCAAGCAACCCCATGGGGGGGGGGGGGGGGGGGGGGGGGACATTACACTGACTAGATGTCCTTAAAACTAATGGAGGAATAAGTGCATAAAATAGATTTGTCACCAATTCACTAAGGACAACGAGATTTTTTAACAAATACAAGTTAGCAACAGTATCACAAGTGACAAATTTTCTCAAGTCTGTTTTTTTTTTTCTTTTTCCTTCACAGCGTGTAGCATTAAGCTTAGAAGACGATGGGTTGCCATGAGGATGAAGTTGCTGCTCCAAACAACACACTGAACAAATTTGCTTTGGATCACAGAACCTGCTTCTTCTTCTTAATCGTTATTTATGTTGCAGAAGGGTAACCACAAAGTTATAATGAACTGCAAACATCCAAAGGATGTGAGAGTTTTGTATGTATAATCTTTTATACACATTTTAACTTGTTGCACTACCCATTTGTGATAGTGAATAAGCGACAGCTGAGCTACTAACTCAATGTACATAACCAGCCAGGCTGAAGGTTCGGTAGCTATTGCTTTATTTTAAGACTATATTTATAGATATTTTGTAAATATGTTGAATATGCTTTGTGGCTATCCATCAACATAAGTAAAAAAAATTATGTACAGGCAGTTTAGAAATATTTATTAACAAAATCTGGATTATAAGATCTGTTCTGTAAATATAGTAGAGGGGTGAGAGTATTTATTTTTTGTATGTTTGGCTTGCTGTGCATAGATTACCTGTGTATGTATCTATCTAGACTAGATAGATATATATGCATATAAATATA